GTGCCGGTCCGGTGTATCCTCCGCCCTCATCTTCCCCTTTTCTACGTCATTGATTAAAACTTTGAACAAAACCAGCCCCAGGACTGAACCCTGTGGCACTCCACTTGATACTGGGTGCCAACTAGACATAGAGCCATTAATTACTACTCTCTCTGCCCAATGCTCCAGCCAGTTTTCTACCTACCTTACTGTCCATTCATCGAGCCCATACTTAGCTTGCCTGCGAGAATGTTGTGGGAGACCGCATCAATTATGAATGAACATTTACTGCAAGCGACCTAACTAGTTCTGCAGTAAAGTCTCCACATACAAATGTGCAGCTCTATTAGGTTCAGCCCATGCAGGCCCTGGACCTTAAGAAGCCAATTCCAGACCTGCCATCAGCGGCAGGCAGGGTAGCAAGCAGCTGGACATGGAGCTGCCGCTCCATCCAGCTCCACACCACTGCTGCTCTGCCCGGCTCTGTGGGGCGCCCCTAAAGCGCAGGGCCCGGGGTGGTTGCCCCCATTCACCTCTCCCTCCTCTTTCCCCCACCCCGGGATGGCCCTGGGCACAAGGGTGCTTCAGTGCGGGGACTACCTGCTGGCTAGCCCCTGCCAGCCAGGGCTGCTCTGACCTGGCTCAACATGTTGCAGTTCTGGGTGCACATGTATATGTGGTGCCTGGCAGCAACAAATTCCAGCAAGATATGTATGTATGCATGCATACACACACACACATACACACACACTCATGCACACACACTTCTCTAGTTTATGAAGTCCTTAGGAATTTTATTTTGTCTCCCCTTCTCCCCCATGTTGTCTTGCTCTTTGCTGAGTACAGGTCCGTCCTTTTCCAAAGCAATGTTTTGTAAGTTGTTGGTGTGCCGCACTCAAATTAAGACACAGCTCAAGGCCTGTCATAATTCCTCTACAAAAATGCCAAAACGTGGAGATACAGACATAAAAATTAACTTAGCATGGGAGAGAAAGGATGACATCATTTGGAGTCTACCACAGAGGGAAAATTGTAACTGCTGAGCAGATGTTTCTTTCAGCAGTCAAATTGCACAATACTGCACAGAAGATGCTTATTGTATAGTTCACACAGTTCAGATGATAGGAAGAAGATGTGGTATCTGCTAAATTGTGAATTACATTCTGCTTTTAGTTTCTGAATAAAATGTTTGCTTCGCATTCCACAAAAGTATCAAATATTTTGCTTTTATTCACAAGTGATTAAATATTTTTTTTTCTTTTCAGGGCTAGCTGTTTTTTAAGCTGTTCTATGTTCATGCTAAGCATTCAGTCAAAATATTTTAATATTTACAATGTCTAACAAGAAACAATGCATTTATAAGTGCCAAGTGAAAACAGGTTAAACCTTTTTGCTGGTCCCTCAGCTGACTGTGAATCTGCACTGCAAATCTAATTTACGGCTGTTCAAAACAGAAAAATGTAATTAGATTTTCATCGGAGCTGCAAACCCTAAAGACTACCATATTATCATATTATGGAAACCCTTTATGAATATGTTAATATTTGTTTCTAGACAGTTCTGTGACACACATGCTGTTTCAACAAAGTGGCAGCTGCTAGAGGCATAAAAAGTTGTGTATCATCACCCAAAAATTGTCCAAATTGCATGACTAACTTATCAATGTTCTCTTAGCACTTAAAGGTTCCAGTTTTCATTAAAATAATAAACAAAAGACTGGGGGAAGGGACTTTAATGTTTTTAAAATATTGCCAAAGTTGAGTGTATGCGCAGCTTTCACTCATCACAATTTTACACCTGGTTTAAAAAGATCATAAATTGGCTTTAATCAATCATAACTTTTGCTTCTAAAAATCACCATTCTCTTTTTCCTGCCCAATATATTTTCCACTTTCACTAATGCAAATTGCAAAATACATAATCAGAAGTATAATGCAGCCAAATAATTGACTCCCTGTTTTCAAAATGAAGGGAAGGAAGATAATTCAATGGACAGCACCCACACTGTTTTTAGTCCCTAAGCCACTGATACGCTGCATGTCCTTGGGGAAGCCATTCCATCTGTCTGTGCCTCAGTTTTCTCCCTTGTTAAATAGCAACTGTAATATTATCTTTCAAAGTGCTTGATGACCAATGCTCCTTCTTTCTTAGCCCAGAGTACAGAACACAGTGGACACATCTACAAGTGCAATTAATGCACCTGAATTTTCTTCACAGAAAATTCAGGCTCATTAAAGTGCTCCAGGGTACATGTCTACATGTGTGCCCCTCTTGGGAGCAAATTGTTCCCCCTTGCAGGAACCACGTGGAGCTCCAGGCTCCCCCAGGTGCCAGCCCTGGAGCTGTTAGGGGGCACAGGGATGGGTCCTGATCCCCATGTGGCCAGGAAAACCTTCCTTGCTTGGTGGGGATGCTGCCTGCTAGGCTTGTGGGGATTGGGAAGCTCACGATCTCCACATGGTTGGTGGGCAGCACATCTGCCAAATCTGGACAGCTCTCCCAGCCATGTGGGGATTGGCATGAGCCCTGATCCCCACATGGTGGGAAGACAGCTGCCCCTTGACCTGGCACAGCTTCACCTGTTTGGGCTTAGCTAGGCAGTAAGCCCCCTCTTGCCTGCCAGCAGCAAAGTAGG